GTACAGGCTCTGCATCTTTATCCTCCGGTTCGGATGCTGCAGCTTCAGTCTGGACTTCTATAATCCCGCTGTTCTCTTCATCCGACGCGAACGCTCCGCGTACCCGGAACGCGGAGGAATTGCGGCGTTCCTCCAGCGCGCACGGGTCACCCGAACAGCCTCCAACCGCGGCGAACGCGACCCACGGCCAGGTCTCATTGGACAGGTAGGACCCAAACAATCTGAGCTTGAAGGTGGTCCCGTGCGGAGCTACGAGGACCCGTTCGCGCATGTACACCCGCTGGTTTAAGTCCTCCAAGCGCAGTCCGTAAAGATGCGTTTCTTGAAGGCTGCAGGTTCCGAACCCGCACAGGAACGATATGATCAACGGGAGACGCAGCTCCGCCAAGCTGACCACCATATTGGAACAGGGCAGCCTGGCTTTATGAATCATGTGACGCTGATGTTGTTGCCGCTACGCTACCCTCCTACTTTTTCAGTTGTTTTCATATAAAACGATGAGGGAAACTGGCTCGGTCCGGCCGCCATGTTGGTTCCGTGATTCTTGAGAAACCGGCACGGACTTGCCCCCAAACTCTGGAGCCACAATGAACGCAGTTTCTTTTTTTTTTGCACTGCCGCTACGTCGTGTCCACAATGGACCAATGACAGAAGAGCAAGTGCTCGCTTGACCAATCGGAGAACGGTCTGTTTTGGTAAACCACGCCCACAACGGCACTGAAACACTTCAGCGTGTGAGATGAGCGAGGCATCTTCTCAAGGCTATTTTGAAAACAAACGTTTTTTGTTTAAATATTCACAGCTTTTTTTCGTATCTAGCGGTTAGATTGACAAAGAGAGAGTTTGAGAGTTAAAAACTGACCGTAATGTTTTACACCTCGCAAAAGTTTTACCTACGGTTTGCCATTGGAATAAAAGCAACATCACTATACCGACTGAGCAAAAGAGGTGTTTTAATATAGAATTATTTCGATTAAGCATTTACATCATCAGAACTCAACAGAAATACAAAATATTTTATACAGATTGCTTTAAATACGATCGTGTTCATGGGAAGTACATTACATCTGCATTTTGCATTTCCCTTTAAAGAGAGCAACTTAAAAAAAACAAAACGAAAAACATCATAATTACAGTTTGGTGTGATGCTTTAGAAAGTAAATAAGACAAAAATAAACTAACCCCACTCACAAAACAAATGATGGAATTATTTTTCTGTAGTTCCCATGGCTTTTTAATGGAAGACCTGTAGTGAACTCAAAACAAAGTGTGCTTAGTATGCAATACAATAACCTGGACAGTTTGAAAGGTCAATATAAGTCATGACCCTGAAAAGTAAATAAATGCAGAGTGGAAAATGCAGACGCTTCCTGAAAACACACTTTTAGAATCTTTAACTGTGGTCTAATTATCAAACAGGGGAGCATGCACGACATCTATCCCGTTGAGTTCCTCAGGAGAAACTACCATGAACATTAAAATCAGATTACAGAGCTGGATCGAAATCCCAGCATTACACTTAAAAGAATTGCATTAGTTTCCCACAAGCAGAGTCACTGTGCAATAAGAGCGAAACATGGGCATTATATGGACAAATCAAAGTGCAAAAGGCTTTGGCTGATGTGTTCATTTACAAATTTAATTCCATGTAGTGTTGCAACTTTGGTCATGATATAACATGTTATGCCTCAGTACAGAGTTTGAGCGCAATGCCCACGTTTTGGTTTAAGTTGGATTAAATACTTCTCAAATTTCACACAAAAGAAATATCAGTTGAGGTAAAATGCAAACTTATTTCTCTTACTGTGCAATTGTACATTAAACATCTTAAAAAGAAACAGACCTATTTATTGCTTCAGATCTCTCGTAAAGGCAACACAACATTTATAAATAACTTAGAAATCATCATACACTAGTTGGACAACATCAATTTTATACTGTTCAATGAGAAAACATAAATAATCAATCCAGTGCTATTCTTCTCAGTAATTATTTCTAATACTCTATAACGCTCACTGGGATTTTTTTAATTTTTTTTTTCAATTTATGAAATAAAAGAAAAGAACAGTTTAACACTGGAAGCTTTATGCATGCACTGCATAGCATAGTTACAGTATGAATACATCAGAATAAGGTTTAAATATGGTTTCTAATGTCAGCTCGGCATGAGAGGAACACAATGGAAAAATCACTGTGACCTCCGAAATGTGATCTCTGGACAGAACCGCTTTATGGTCAGATGTAGAAACTCTTAATACTAGTGCAAGCAAAGAGGCTTTAATTTGGAATAGTTCACTAAAAATTAGCTGAAAGTTTCTTCATTGGAAAATAAATTGAGAAATGTAGCATCACATCACTTGTTCACCAATGGATGCTCTGCAGTGAATGGGTGCCGTCAGAACGAGAGTCCAAACAGCTGATAAAAACATCACAATAATCCACACCACTCCAGTCCATCAGTTAACATCTTGTGAATGAAAAGCTGTTTGTAAGAAACAAATTCATCAAAGAGTTTTAACTAAGGTACTTTAACTTTAAAACATCAAAATACAAGTTCATAATCCATAATAATGATTACACTCCAGTGAAAACGTCCATCCCCTGTTGTCATCTCACATCAAAATCCACTCACATATTAGTTTCGAGCTGTTTTGGACTGTTTTCTCTTGTAAACAGTGCTTGATCTGTGTATATTTCTCTCCTGATTCAGACGAGACAATTATTTCACTGGAGAAAGCAATATTATGGAGAGAGGACTCATATTTTAGCTGAAAGCAACAATGAAAAATGTCTTGGTGGATTCGTGTGGATTATTGTGATGTTTTTATCAGCTGTTTGGACTCTCGTTCTGTCGGCACCCATTCACTGCAGAGCATCCATTGCTGAGACACTGATGCAGTGCTACATTTCTACAAACCTAATGAAGAAACAAACTCATCTACATCTGGGATGCCCTGAGAGTGAGCACATTTTCAGCTCATTTTCCATTTTTGGGTCAATTAGTATCATTCATCAAACTAACAACTTGCTTTCCTTCTAAAATGATTTCCCTGTTCTAATGACCATCACTTTTGTCTCTAAAATGGCTTTGAATGTTGTTTCACG